CTTAGTAGCCTTGTGGAGTCCAAGGCTCCAAATCAACCAAAGCACACACAGGACTCCACACAAAGCAAGATCTTTATTGAATTAGGCAGCAAAACTGACTTTCCGGGAGCAACAGACTCAGGAGATGACTGTGCCCTGCAATGTTCATTTCAGCAAGTATTTAAGCACAAAACCCACAAACATCTGTGCCAAGTTAGTTACATTTTTCTACCAATCAGAAGTCAGGATTAGGGACTTTCCTAGGAACATTGTTCTGTGGTATGTAGTTGGTTGTTTCTGTTCTTTTAGAGGGCCTGCCACCCAGCTCCCAAATAAATCACACATGGAGGCTTATCTTTAATTATAAATGCTAGGCCTTAGATTGGCTTGTTTCTTGCCAACTTTTCTTAAATTATTCTGTCTATCTTTGGCCTCAGGGCTTTTATCTTTCTCTATTCCTGTATATCTTTTCTTTCCTTCTTACCCCATGTCTGGCTGTGTAGCTGGTTGGCTGGGTGGCTGTGTGGCTGAGTGGCTGGCTCCTGAAGTCCTCCTCCTTCCTCTCCTGTTCCTTGATCTTTCTTTTTCTCCTCCCAGATTTCTCATATATATTCTCTCTGCCTGCCAGCCAAACCTATCCTTTCTCCTGCCTTGCTATTGGCCATTCAGCTCTTATTTGACCAACAAGTGTTTTAGACAGGCACAGTAACACAGCTTCACAGAGTTAAACAAATGCAACATAAAGGAATGCAATACTTCTTTGCATCATTAAACAAATGTTCCACAGCATAAACAAATGTAACACATCTTAAAATAATATTCCATAACATTTCCCCCTTTTTGTCTAAATAAAATGAAAGGGTTTTTTTTTTTCCTTTGGTTTTTTTAGAGACAGGGTTTCTCCGTGTAGCTTTGCACCTTTTCTGGAACTCGCTTTGTAGACCAGGCTGGCCTCGAACTCACAGAGATCCGCCTGCCTCTGCCTCCAGAGTGCTGGGATTAAAGGTTAAAGGCGTGCGCCACCACCGCCCAGTGAAAGGTTTTAACTTTAACGTAATGAGACTATATACAACAAAAAACCATTATCAGGTAAGAATTAGATTTACAATATTCAGTCCATTTGTGTTTAGCAAATTCAGAGAAAACACTCCACCATCCATACCATCTTTGTGACTCCAAAGTTTTATACCTAATTTACTTTCTATCACAACTAAGGAAAAGTGCAACTATAACTATCTAGTCTTTGTTTTTTCAAGACAGGATTTCTCTGTGTAGCCCTGGCTTTCCTGGAACTCACTTTGTAGACCAGGCTGGCGAACTTAAAGTGATCCACCTGCCTCTGCCTCCTGAGTGCTGGGATTAAAGATTTGTGATACCACTGCCTGGCTAAAATTTTAATCAATTAATCAACCTACGTAGATACTGTTAGTTATTTGGCGGCGCTCTTACCCTGAGAGGAAATCATGACACACAACAGAATCCACTAACCAGAGTTTTATTAAGATAAGATTGACAGACAAGTGCTCAAGCCTGCGGAAGAGACACATGTGTAGAGAAGAAGAAGAAAGCCGGGAATATGGCGCTGGCTTATAAAGGCTGGGTGGCACACGCGTACACAAGTTGATGTGGCTACTCCATGAATGCGCGTAGATCACATGGTTGCGTTGTGCGCTCTTAAGCAACCATGCAAAGTCCTGGTCATGTGAGACGCCTTGGCCCAGAAATGGCTATTTTGACCCAGAACTGGCTAGGCAGAAGTGTCTAGGCCCAACCATGGGGGCGTGTTGTGAATCTATCAGATACAGCTTCTTCTGAGGAATTCTCATTCATACATGCTCACTGTAGTTTGAGAGGAATCAAGTCTAAGGCTAGTTCTTAGGCAGATGCCTTGGGGTTGGATTGCCTAAAAGCACAGACTCTGTTCCCAGTGCCCAGTGTGGCAGAGTCCATAGTTGCTCACACAGGCTTGCCAGGAGTCTTTGTTGTGAGCTTATCTGTATAACAAAGCATCTTACCTGGGTCACACCCTGCTATAGACTACAGGGGCATGGTGGCTCAAAGGACATTTGGGTCCTCCTAACCTTGGCTCCTAGGAAGACATTCCAAGCACCATGATCCCAAACTGGCTCTAATTGACAAGTTCAGAGTACAAAGCCACATATCTCTAAGGCCACAGTGGGCATCAAGGAGGGAAGCCCTCTAGCCGCACACAGGACTGATGTGCTTTGCACAAGAAAAGGGCACATCACATATCTGGAGTTCACGAGGCATGCAGTGGGATGGGTGCCAGCTTCAAATTCAGCTGGGCTATTTGGAATGTCTCAATCCTGTATCAAAAGACACCTGACCTAGCTTGAGGACCTTGCACACACATGTGTTTTAGCAGCTAAATTGTCACAGCTTGCAAACACATATAAATTATTAGTTTCTGGGAGGCCAGTCCCAAGTTTAGAAACAGTACCTGTAGGCAGAAGTTTCTGTCCTGCCAGTCGCTCCCAAGTAACCACACAGAAACTTATTATTAGTTATAAATGTTTAGCCAATAGCTCAGGCTTGTTACTAGCTAACTCTTTCATTATAAATTAACCCATATTTCTTATCTGTGCTTTGTCACATGGCTTGGTGCCTTTTCTCAGCACAGCATGCTCATCTTGCTTTTCTTTACTTCTGCTCACAACTCCCAGACTCTGCCCTTCTTCCCAGCATCCTCTTCATTTGGCCCTCCTACCTAAACTCTACTTGTCCACCTATTGGCCACTCAGCTTCTTTATTAAACCAATGACATACATTCACGTAGTGTAAAGGGATATTCCACAAGTACTACCAAGCTTCTACTTCCATGCTCAGGATTATCAATGTCCTTAAGTCCAGTGAGCTTCAGGAATGCCATCTGTTTACTCATCAGAATTTTGTAGCACATTGGAGGCTGGAAAAAAAACCAGAAAACAACTAAGAGTCTACTTATATTTCTGGGATATTCTGGAGGAAAGCTGCAGCATTTCTGTGATTCTGTGTCTCAGTATATGAGAGGCTCTTTGTGTCCCCAAGTAATCCCTAGTGATCAGAAGACCCTGGTTGGGACAACTTACTATTCATCAATTACTCAAGATGGAGAGCAGCCAAGTCCAACATGGCTTCAGTTTTCCTTCTAGAAGGAACTTCTGGTCTCTTCTAGGGAGGCCAGAGGCCCAGGATGAACAGTTTGTGGATTGGCCCTGTCTTTCCTTACCCTACCGAGACCTCCAGCATTTAGGGCAGTGCTTGGCAAGCTCCCAAGGCATGTTGAGAAGAAGGGATGCCATGTATCTGGGAAGCTAGCCAGGGAGATCTATACCATGTGAAGTCAGGGCCTGACCAGATCCTAGGACAAGCCTGCTGTGAGGTGTCCTGTGGCTTCCAAAAGACAAGCCCATGTCCTGACCTGTTGCCTGCAACTATGGTCTTAGTTGGATAAGTTTTTATAGGTGAGGACACACTCCAAGGATTGGTCAGGCAGGGAGGGGGCCATCTGAAGATGGTGGCAGGCTAACTTAAGCAGCCTCAAGCCAAAGACTGGCAGTTCCTAGAAGCTGGAAAGGAAGGAGAGACCCTCTGAGCCACTGAGAGACCTAGCTTTAGTCACACTTAGGCTTAGACTTCTAACCACTAGAAGGGCAAGACAGTAGATTCCTAATGGGTTGAGCCCCACTTTGTAGTCATCTGTTACAACAGTTCAGGCACTCTTTTTACAAAGAGAAAACACCTCCCTTTGATTTTCTGTGCCTCAGTTTCTACCCAGTGTCAAAACCACTAGAACTTCAGTCTCTTCCCAGCACAAACTTTGGCTCTCATAAAGAGGACATGGCACCATCTAACCCCCAAGATGCAGGATGCCCACACCTCCCTGGCTTTCTGGGACTGCATTGCCACTCTAATGAGAGCTAAGCACTCAGCAACTGGAGGGTCAGGAGAATTTCTAGGAGGGACTGCAGGCATAGTACCCACAGAGCCTGGGAAAATGGTGTGGTGGTGTTTAAGGTGGAGGAAAGAGAATCAGGAGCTCTTGGTCAGGCTCAGTGTTAAGAGAACTCACTGGCTGCTCATCTAGGGAGCCTAGGTTCAGTTCCCAGCATCTGCAGGATGGATCAGTAACTCCAGTTCCAAGGGATCCAGCATCCTCTTCTGGCCTCCACAGGCACTGTATATTCATAGTGTACAAACATAAGTGCAGGGAGAAAAACCCATGCACATACTTTTAAAAAAACATTTTTTTAAAAAAAATTTCAAGATCATCCTCAGCTACATAACAAGTCTGAAGCTAGCCTGGGCTATAAGAGATTCTGACAAAGAATTCCCAGCATGCTACTTACAGAGCTGAATCTCCTCTCCTGAAACACGCGGTGAATTTAGACTCCCTGGTGCAGTGGACGAAGAAAGAACTGGAAGAAGAAACGTCTTCAGTCCATAGCAAACTCACACTTGTTTCCAGAACCTGGCAACATAGAGCTGAACCTCTGTCTGGGGAGGGGGTTTCAGGAGCCTCCTTAACCCATCCCTCTGTCCCCTGCTCCAGGCTGGGGCACCCTGGAAGGTGCTCAGTGCCACCTTGACCCCCTTAACCTGAGATGCTGCTGGCACTCTTCGGGCTGTTCTATCCTCAATGATAAAGCCAGAGCCTTGTCAAACACACTGCCTCTCCTGAGACCGAGGAGGTGGCTCAGAGTGAATATTGCTCTTGCAGAAGCACCCAGTTTGGTTCCCAACACCCATGTCAGGCAGCTCATAACCACCTGTAATTCTAGCTCCAGGGCATCTGATGCTTTGGTTTCTGGGCACACACACACACTTCTCATGGATACACAGACTGCTCTAGGTTGTTTGTTTTGTTTTGTTTTGTTTTCCAAGATAGGGTTTCTCTGTATAACAGCCCTGGCTGTCCTAGAACTCACTCTGTAGACCAGGCTAACCTCGAACTCAGAGATCCTCATGCCTCTGCCTCCTGAGTGCTGGGATTGAAGGCATGCACTGCCACTTCCCAGCATTCACTCACCTCTTTTTAAAACACACCAAATGACGGCGATGACAGCAGCAATGATGATGATGACAGCAGCTATGACAACTATAACAGTCAGAGGGCCAGACAGGCAGAGACAGTGACAACCTGGCGTCCCTGGAAGGAGACGGACGGGAGACCGCTGCGGCAGGGTTGAGCACAGCTGACAGCTGTCTTTTTTTTGAGACAGGGTTTCTCTGTGTAACTGTCTTGGCCGTTCTGGAACTCTCTTTGTAGACCAGGCTGACCTCGAACTCACAGAGATTCACCTGCCTCCCAAGTGCTGGGATTAAAGGCGTGCGCCACCACTGCCTGGTGGCTGTCTTTATTAGAGTGACAAACCACAGAAGCTCCTGCTTCCTGTCCAGGCTCAGAGGCCATGGCGTCCTGTTAAGGTTCTTGGAAGGAGCAAAGGGTGTGCCTCACCAGAAGAGCAGCAGGGGGCTCTGCTCCCCACAGACTGCTCAGATCATTCAGGAGTCTTGGCCTCACTCTTTGTGAAATCACAGCCCAGGGAGAGCCCAGGATGCAGATACAGGGGGGATGGAACAGGCTAGAGGGAACTGTGGACCCCAGGCTCTGTCAGCAGCTGCATGAATGGCTGAGGGTCAGTGAAGCTACATATCACTCAACCTAAAGGCTTTCTTAGTCTTAGATAAGGTCTTTCTATTTATTATGTATTTATTTATTGGTTTTAGTATTAAGCATCCTTCTAAAATTGTTGCTCATTTGTTTACCTTATTTTTAATGTTTAAATATTTTTATGTGTATAGGTATTTGTCTACATGCATGTCTGTGCATTGTGTGCTCACAGTGCCTATGGAGGTCAGAAGAGGGCGCCATATCCGTTAGAACAGGAGTTACAGATGGTTGTGAGCTGGGGGGGGGGGGCTGGAAATTGAACCTGGGTCCTCTGCAACAGCAACAAGTACTCTTAACCAATGAGCCATCTCTCCAGCTCCTACTTATTTATTTTTTGATATAGAATCTTGCCATGTAGCCCTGACTGGTCTAGTACTAGGTAAATAGCCCAGATTGGCCTTCAATTCACAGCAATCCTCCTGCCTCAATAGCATATGTGATGGAGTTACAGACCTGTGCTGTCACACTTGGATGTTTTACTTTATTATTTATTAAATTTCATTTCATTATTATTTATATTTACATGCTCATGTGTGTGTCTCTGTATGCATGTGCATGTGCATGCATGTGCGCGCGCGTGAACACACACACACACACACACACACACACACACACACATCAGAGGAGGACATCGTGTGTCCTATGCTATCACTCTCTGCCTTACTCACTCCCGTGAGACAGGGTCTCTCTCCCTGAACCTGCAGCTAGGCTGACAGCCAGTGAGTCCCAGAGACGGAAGCACAGTCACACTCATGGGTTCTGGGATTTGACGTAAGGTCTGCATGTGTGTACAGCCAACACTCTTACCCACTGAGCTCCCTGGCCCCATTTTTAAAACTAACACTTTACTGTTATGTGTGTGGAGGTCAGAGGACAATTTGGTTTGGTTTGTTCTTTCCATTCACCTTTCCATGGGTTTCAGGTTCTGGGGATTGAACTCTGGTTGCCAGGCCCAAATGGTAAGTGCTTTTATCTTCTGATATTTCTAATGTCAGCCCCTGCCTATAGGATCTTTTTTTATGTGTATGGGTGTTTTGCCTGTATGTGTACCATGTGTGTGCCTAGTGAACAAAGAGGTCAGAAGAGGGTGTCAAAAGCTTTGAACCTGGAATAACAGTTGTAAGCCACCATATAGGTGCTGGGATTGAACCTAGGTCCCCTGTAAGAGCAAGTGCTCTAAATCCCGAAGCCATCTCTCCAGCACCCTCCTGCTTGTAGTATTTAATGAAAACTTTCTTTAGGAGTTGGGGAGATGGCTTGGTTGGGTTGTGAGCCTAGCCTGTAACTGCTGAGACATCTCTCCAACCCAAAGACAAGATTCTTGACCTGCAGCCCCCCAAGCAAAATCCAGCCAAACACAGTCATTTGTTCATAATCTCTGGCTGTTTTTCCTACTGTGGCAGAGTTTAATAGTGACTATAAATGTCAATGTTACCTTCTCAGCTGGTTTAGTTTGGGTTTCTATTGATTTCAGTTTGCAGTTTGAGACCATCATCCCAGGAAGTCAGGGCAGGAACTCAAGGCAGGAACCACTACAGAATGAGGCTTCTTCCTCAAGGCTTGCTATGCCTGCTTCCTTATAAACTCCAGGATGACCTACCCCAGGGTAGCATCATCCACAATGGGTTGAGCCTTCCCACATCAATCACTAATTAAGAAAATGCCCTATAGGAGTGCCTACAGGCCAATCTGTCAGGGGTCATTTTCTCAGTTGAGATTCTCTTTTCCTAAATGACTCCAGCCTGTGTTAAGTTGACATAAAAACTAGCCAGTACACCAGTGCACATTTTTTGGAGAGGGGTAATTTAGAGACAGAGTTTCTCTGTGTAGCCTTGGCTATCCTGGAACTCACTCTGTAGACCAGGTTAGCCTCGAACTCAGAGATCTGCCTGCCTTTGCCTCCTGAGTGCTGGGATTAAAGGCATGCACCACCACCACCGCCCAACCAGCGAACATTTTTAATGTGACTTTAGGAGACAGATCCTTACCTGAGTCTGACTTGAACGTGTCACACAGTGTGTCCATGGTGGCGTTGCATTGCCTGATGACTCTGTCCTTAGGACAGCTGGGAGGAAAGCAGAACGTGTTACTTCCTCCCACCCAGGCAGCCCAGAACACACTCTACACTGCCCACAGGGTTAGGGAGGACCAGCCCCAGCCCAGCATGGCCATGGTACACCTTGCCGTTCTGGCCAAAAGCACTCTGAAGAGATTAGAGTTTGGGGGTGTCTGTTCTATTTAGGGAAGGCCTCTCTCTGTCTCCGCTCTGAAGACCTGACCTGCTGTCCCACCACATAGAGGGAAGTCTGCCTAGAGACAAAGACAGTGTGAGTAAGGAAGAGGCAAAGATGTACAGACAATCAAGAGCCTCCATCAAACTGGAGTTGAACAGTCTTTCCTCACGCAGTTCAGTGTTTTCTGAGTCGTGTTTATGGGTGTAGAACCTGCCTCACAGATGCAAGCTAATGCCTGGTGTGGTGATGAACTCCTTTAACCCCAGCCCTTGGGAAGCAGATGCAGGCAGATTCTTGTGAGTTCACACCAGTCTGGTCTACATAGTGAGTCCCAGGCCAGCCAGTGAGACCCTGTTTCAGAGGGTGTTTGTGTGGAGAGATGGCTCAGTGGTTAAGAGCATTTGCTGCTCTTCTAGAAAAAGTAGGTTCTAGTCTCAGTGTCCACACAGTGGCTCACAACCAGCTATAACTATAGTTCCAGGGCATTCAATACCCTCTTTGGGACTCTATGGGCATCAGACATGCAGGCAAACACTATGCACATAATTAACAAACAAACAAACAAACAAATAAATAAATAAATACAGATTCAAGCTACTATACAAGAGGCTTTATTACTATAGATACCTCTCAAAAATGTCCTCCCAAACTCATGTGCCTTGGAACTTCACCTTGCTTGGAAACAGGGTCTTTACAAATGACACTAAGTGAAGTTGGGGGTCACACTGGGTTAGAATGAGGCTTTTTTTCCTTTTTTGGTTTTTCAAGACAAGGCTTCTCTGTGTAGCCTTTGGAGCCTGTCCCGGAACTCACTTTGTAGACCAGGCAGAACTCGAATTCACAGAGATTCACCTTCGTCTGCCTCCCGAGTGCTGGGATTAAAGGTGTGCGCCACCACTGCCCAGGTAGAATGAGTCTTAACCAAGTGATTAGAGTCCTTACAAGGAAGAGTTGTAGTCAGATGCACAGGAGCAAAGTCTACGTGGAGAGAGAGGTGGCAAAGAGTGATGTGTTCACACACAAAGGAATGTCAGGAATCACTGCCACCACCAGAAACTAGAAGAGGCCAGGGAGGAGGCAGAGGAGTGGTTCTCAACCTGTGGGTCGCAACCCCTTTCGCATGGGTCACATAGCAGATACCCTGCATGTCAGATATTTACATTCTGATCCATGACAGTAGCAAAGTTAACGGTTATGAAGTAGGAACAAAAATAATTTTATGGTTGGGGATCACCACAGCAGGGAGAACTGTACTAAAGGGTCACAGAATTAGAAAGGTTGAGGACCACTGACCTAGAGCCTGCAGAGGGAGTGAAGACCTGTGAATGCCTTTGATGTTGGACTTCTTGGCCAGAACCATACAAGAATAACTTTCTGTTTTCACTCCCTGTTTATGGTCATTGCTAAGTGGCCACCAGATATTTTTACTTTTTTTAAGGCAGAATCTCATGTAGCCCAGGCTGGCCTCAAACTCACTAGGTAACCAAAGATGACCTTGAACTTCTGATCATCTGGCCTCCAGAGTACTGGGATTGTAGGCATACCACCATACCTGGTATATGTGGTTCTAGAGATTGAATCCAAGGCTTTGTGTATGCTATAGAAACACTCTACCAACTGAGCTACATTCCTGGTCCCACAGAATTCCTTTTTTAAAGTTTCATTTTATGTTTAGATATGTGCATGTGTTTGTGTCTGTGTGCATGAGTGCAGGTACCCACAGAGGCCAGAAGAGGGCATCAGATTCCCTAGAGCTGGAGTTATAGACAGTTATGAGCCCCCTGATGTGGGTGCAGTGAACTAAACTCAGTTCCTTAGAAAAGTGGATCACATCTTAGCCCTGTGCCATCTCTCTAGCTCTCCTTCCCCATTCTTAATTAACAGTAAGTCACTTTTGCCATCCTTTCTGCCTAGAGTTTTTTCCCCTTGAACTTTCTGTGGTTCCATGTCTCCCTGATTCACTGAGAGCCTCTACCCATAAATAACCTTGTGATTCCTCCAACTGAGTGTGCAGTGGCCCCCACGATCATGAACTTACTCATCACCAATAGTGTTTGTTTTTTTCAGACATTATCTATATCCCAAGCTGACCTCAAACTTGCTATGTAGTTAACCTTGCACTCCCGATCCTCCTGCCTCTGCTTCCCCAGTGCCAGGACCACAGGCTGTACCACCACACCTGGTTTGTGCAGTTCTGGGGGTGGAACCAGGGCCTTGTACATGCTAGGCAAACACTCTGCCAACTTAGTTTCATCCCCAGTCCATCGTTAATGGTCTTATGCTATGTATGCATCTCTGTTGTGTGTCTCTCACTGTTGGGGCTCAAAGGTTGTTTGTTGAGTGAGTTAATGAATGAGTGAATGAATGAGCACTGACTCCAGGCAGCTTCTGGAAGGAAGGATCCTTTGTTTGATTTCACCTGGGTGGCAGGTGCTGCCCTCACAAGTCCCTCTACAGACAGGGACTCAGAGGCTAGGGGACTAGAGGGCAGGAGTGGGGATCTACACTCATTGTGTTTCCCCCCCCCCCCCCAGCTGGTACCTGCTGCATGGAAGGCACTTCTCCACACAGTTTTCAGAGTTACAATAGGTGCCCTGCTTGCACTGGCACTTACGATTAGCCGTCTGGGAGCATTCTGACACCTCCTCTTGGTCTGTGGAAGCAGGAAGGCTGCAGGTCAGTCATCAGGGTGGGAGTCTGTCCCAGTGTACAACACTCCATGACACAGTAGTCATCTTCACAAGCTTTTCACTCTAGGCACGCAATCTGCCTTCACCCTGTCCTCTAACACAGGGACCATGCCAACACAACAGCCAGCCTCCCTTTTCTTCCACAGAGCCCTTCGATCTGGGCTGGAGAAGAACAGGGAAGGGGTGTACCTCAGGAGTATCCAACCCCCAAGCTTCCTTTCAAGCAAAGGCTCTACAGTGGAGCAGCACTCCCAGCCCTTATTGGGGTTGGCAGGGAGGAGAAGAGAGAGAGAGAAAAAAGCCTATTAGGCCTTTGTGTCAGGTAGAGTGTGAAGAAGGCAGCATTTGCCATCTTCATTATCTTTCTGTGGCCCCTCCCCCTGCCAGTCCGCCTGCTTTAACTATCAGTGGAGAGGCTGCCCCCATGGACGGACAGATGTACGGACGAGGCTGCCCACTTACCATGCCGGCACTGAGAGCAGCGAAAGCAGGAAGACTCCCTGTTGTGGTGGTTCATGAAGTTTTCAAGCTCACACGGGACACACTCACTCTCACTGTGGTTCCTCTGGCATGATTTAATGAGGTGGGTGCCTATGTGAGAGGAGAAAGAGGTGTCCAGGAGCCTAGCGAAGCCCTTGGGGGGCTAGACCCCCTCACTACCCACTCCTAGGCCCCCAGCCTCCTTGCCACAGTCTTCATACTAAACTTAACGTGTGGAGGCCCTGCATCACCCCTTGGCTGAGACTGATGTCCTGCAGGGTATTGGAGCAAGTGAGTTCTTCCGCTTCACTCCAGAGTCCTAGAGAGCTGGCTTACAAGAGGCCCATGTGTCCATCTCCCCGTCTCATGCCAGGTTGCTGCCTGCCCATGATGGTTTCCACAGAACTCCAGAGTCTAAATAAAGATTAGATCCTTAGCCAAGGTCCCTACCACCTTCTCAGCCTATGGCAGACGCATAGGGAGACAGTTGCCCACCTCACAATATGAGCTCTGCACTTGTGCTGACTCCCACAGTGTTCAGTGAGGTCAGTTCCACCTCACTGTTTGTGCGGTGTGCTTGTAGGGATGTGCCCACACATGGCCATGTACCCACAAGTGTGCGCAGGCGTGCATACAGACCCAAATGGGTGTCCACAGACTCGTGTGCATATAAGTGCATGAGTAGGTATGTTTGCAGGTAGGTTTGCATACAGATGTGTGTTGGCAGTTGTGTAGGATGGGGGCTGGGTCCAGGTGCAGACACTCATATGCTTTTTCTCAGGCATCTCCTTGCTGCTTCTGTAGAACACACCAATGCCCATCTCTGGACAGGCACACACATGTCTCTGGTCTTTGTCCTCCAAAGCCAGGGGCAGTGCTTGGGTGGGGGAGGGCAAGTAGCAGCTGGTTGCTAAGGTGACACCCACTTCCCTTTTTCTGTCTGATTACACCCCTCTCAATGCAGTCTCCAGTTCAGCCCTAGCTAAAAGGCCTGTAGCATCTTTTCCCATCAGAAGGCCAGGCTTGTGGAATGCTCTGGAAAGCATCCTGGAACTCACCAGCAGGACAAAGTTGGCAGCAGAAGGTCTCAGATTGGAACTCATCTGTCCCACATGGGCTTGGACTACTCTCATTGCAAACTGTCACCTAGAATCAGAAGGGGAAATACAAAAAACCCATCCATTCGTGACTCTCAGCACAGAAGAGGTAGATGGCTCCCCACCTGACCTCAGCTCTCATATGGACCCTTTCTGCAGAGCATACACTACAATTTTGCTCATATCTCCCCAAGAGTGACTGGTAGTAGTCAGGGGGCAGGTGTCACTCTGCAGGTATATTCCTCAGTTTCCAAATGTGGGTGGCTTTGTATCTTTGCCATTGGTGTGTGACCTGTAGGGCTGTCAGTGAACTGTTGGTGTTCTAGTATATGCTGTTTTCAGTGGCCACAACTATAAAGTTTCTTTCGATTCATTTATGCGTAGTATGAGTATGCTGCCTGTGTGTATATATGAACATCATGTGCTTGCCTGGTGTCCTTGGAGAAAAGAGTGTGGATCCCTTGGGACTGGAGTTCCAGATGATTGTGGTCCACCATGTGGGAGCTGGGAACCCAATCCGGGACCTCTGTAAGAGCAGCTGGTGCTCCTACCCAGAGTCATCTCTCCAGCCCTGCATCTACACTTTAAGAAAGTATGTTTGTGAAGTTGTGTGTATCTGTGCACACATATTGTAAATGTATGTGCCTGTGTATACTTACAAAGTATGCTCATTATGTGATCTCAATTTTTTATAACCGTACTGATTTTTTTTTTAAAGATATAGCCCTAGCTGGACTGAAACTCAATATGTAGTTAAAACTGGTCTCAAACTCAGATCTGCCTGCTTCTGCCTCCTGAGTGTTGGGATTAAAGGTGTGCACCGCCAAGGTCTGGCCTCCTTTGATTTATTATGGTATGTGCATGTGAGTGAGAGAAAGGAGGTACCATGGCATGCATGTGCCATGGTGTGCATTTGGAAATGAGAGAACAGTGTTGTGGAGTCCATTCTCTCCTCACACCTTTACGTGGGCTCTGAGGATTGAGCTAAAGCTGGCAGGCTTGTGTGACTTGTACCTTTATCCACGGCGCCACCTCTCTGGCCCCACAGTTTTACTGAGACAGGGACTATCACTAAACTCAGAGTTCAGGTTGGGCTAGAATGGCTACCAATGAGCTCCCAGAATCCACCTGCCCCCTTCCCACTCTCACTGGAGTTATAGACACATGTTGCCATACCTGGCTTTTACAGGGTGCTGAGGATCCAAACTCAGTCTGCTTTTTGTGTGTTGGACACAGTTTCATGTTGGTTTATTTCACCAGTGTATTTGATCCTCATTATTCACAAATTATGTATTTGTGAATCCACCTACTTCCTAACATTTCTTCTCATACCAAAATCAGTGGTACTTTTCAGCTATTCACTAATACGCACAGAGTGTCAAAAAATTTGAGCTCCCTGAGGCTGAAGAAATGGCTCCGCAGTACAGCGCACTTGCTGTTCTCCCAGAGGACCCAGGTATGATTCCCAGCACCCACATTAGGTGGCTCACAAGGGCCTGAAACTCCAGTTCCAGTAGATTGGTGTCCTCTTCTGGACTCTTCACAATGTGTATATACTCACACAATACATAAATAAAAAATAACTCAGTTATGTGGTGATATATTGTGTACCCTAATAAAGCTTGTATGAGGATCAGAGGACAGAGCTAGCCACTAGATTAGACATAGAGGCCAGACAGTGGTGGCACACACCCTTAATCCTATCACTCAGGAGGCAGAGATCCATTTGGATCTCTGTGAGCTCAAGGTCACACTGGAAACAGAGCCAGGCAGTGGTGGCACACACATTTAATCCCAGTCCTGGGAAGTACACATGCCTTTAATCCCAGGAGGTGATGGCAGGGTGGAGAAAGGTATATAAGGCGTGAGGAAATAGGAAATGAGGCAGTTCAGCTGAGACCCTTTCCGGTGAGGACTCAAGCGTTCAGTCTGAGGATTCATGGGAACAGGATTGGCTGAGGAGTTGGCAAGGTGAGGTTGGCTGTGGCTTGTTCTGCTTCTCTGATCTTTCAGCCTTCCCCCCAATATCTGGCTCTGGATTTTTTACTAAAATACCATCTAAGATTTGAACAACACAGTTAAATATTTGTATATATATTATATATGTGTATGTGTGTGCACATACACACACACACTGAGACAGGTTCTTGCTGTGTATACACACACACACACACAAACACACACACACACACACACACACACACACACACACACACACACACACACTGAGACAGGGTCTTGCTATGTACCTGGACACACACACACACACACACACACACACACACACACACACACACACACTGAGACAAGGTCTTGCTATGTACCTGGATGGCCTGGAACTTGCTGTGTATTCAGCCTGGCCTCCAACTCACAGAGATTCACCTACTTCTGTCTCGAGTGCTGAGATTAAAAATGTTTGTCACTCCTAGCATTCAGGAGGGAGAGGCAGGCAGATCTCTGTGAGCACAAGGGCAACCTGGTCTATAAAGCAAATTCCAGGACAACTAGGGCTGTCAAAAAAACAAAAAAAAAAAAGTGTGCGTGTCACCACCCTGGGCTAAAATTAACCCTGGGTTAAAAATTTTGAGTCACTTGAACACGTTCTGCCCATTGAGGGCAAGTGAGGAAATATTTTCTGTTCCTGCTTCATCTTCCACTTCACGTATGAGTCTCTCTTACAGGATACCATTACCTTTGTTTCTGTATCTTTTGTGGTGTTTCGCATTGCTTATCTTGCTGTTTAAAATGGCTCCAAACACAGCAGTGAGAAACTGTTTCCTGTCCACAGTACTAGGAAGTCACAAATAACCTTACAGATAACACATGTGTTTTGGAGAAACTGCTACAGGTGTGAATTACAGGCTGAGGAACATGGGTTCTCTATGAATCAACACAGATGGCATAAGATGCCTTTAAACAAACATAAAGTAATCTACTGACCAGTTTATAAAAGTATGGACAGAGGCTTACAAGAACAAGCCTCTGGGCTAGGAGTTGGCTCCGTCAGTACCTCCATCAAAGCATGAGGACCTGAGTTTGGATCTCTCACATTCACCCGGGCATGTAGAGTATCTCTAACTCCAGGGCTGAAGATGGAGACAGGCAAATCCCTGAAGCTCATTGGAAACGAAGCATAACTTAGCTCTAGGTTCACTGAAAGACCCTGTCTCCCTGGATGTAATGATGGCTCTGCAGTTAAGAGCACAGGCTACTCTTCCAGAGGACCTGGGTTTCATTCCCAGAAGCCACATGGTGGCTCACAACCATCCACACTCGAGTTCCAGGAGATCCAACACCCTCCCTCTTTTGACCGCTGTGGGCACCAAGAACGTATACAGTACACCTAAACTCACTCAGACACACATAAAAACATATTTTTTAAATATTAAAGTTTACTTATTTTTATGTATATAAGTATTTTGACTGAATGTGTGTGCCACACCTCTGTCTGGTGCCTGTGGAGGTCTCCAGACCTTTAAAAAAAATTGGAGGGGTTTCAAGACAGGGTTTCTCTGTGTAACAGCCCTGGCTGTCCTGGAACTTGCTTTGTTGACCAGGCTGGTCTCAAACTCTCGAGAGATCCGCCTGTCTCTGCCTCCTAGTACTGGGAATTAAAGGTGTGCTCTGACATACCCATCTTAATTAAAAAAGAAAGAAAGAAGATCCTGCCTTGAGAAATAAGGTGGAGAAAGATCCAGAAAGACACCAGACAGCAGCCTCTAGTTTCCTAGTGCACATATCTACATTTGGGGAAGGGAGGAGGGGAGGAGGGAAGGAGGGGAGGAGGGGGAGGGGGAAGGGAGAGGGGGAGGGGGAGGGGAGGAGGGGAGGGAGATAGCATCTAACCCTGCTTTCTTCCTGAGAGCCTTGGCTCAATACCTTAGGTAGTTGGGGTGACTTTCAGAACATACACCTCTACTATGAGAACTGCCTTGGGGTGTGGCTCAGTGGCACAGCCCTTGCTTGCTCAAGGCCCTGGGTTCTATTCCCAGCACCACAAAAAACAAATAAATGAATGTATCTTAAAAGATAAGAAATGAGCAGGAGAAATGGATCAGTGGTTAAGAGCACATAATGCCCTTGCAGAGGACCCGAATTCAATTACCAGCATCCAAGTCAGGGGACTTACAACCGCCTGTACCTCCATCTCCAAGGGGATGCAACACCTCTGGCCTCTGTGGGCATCTACACTCACACACACACAGTTACAAATAATAAAAATAAACATTTTTAAAAAAAATAAGAATAATGTCACCCCTCTGTGGCTTTCCCCCTTAGCCATTATGAAGGAGACCCTGTTCCTCACCAATGTGGTCCAGGCTGGATTTCTCCCATTGGATTATTATACACCATCTCTGCTGCCTTCAGCTGGAATTTGATCTAACTCCGTCTTTCTGCCATTCATTTCCATCAAACTGTATCTGTTCTATTTTGTCCATCTGTTCTCGAGACAGGGTGTTTCTCTGTGTAGCCCTGGCTGTCCCGGAACTCTCTCTCTCTCTGTAGACCAGGCTGGCTTCATATTCAGAGATCTGCCTGCCTCTGCCTCTCAAGTGCTGGGATTAAAGGCCTGAGCTACCACACCTGGTTTGTTCTTTCTTTCTATAAATGATCAAGGCTTGGTGGTGCGTGCCTTTAATCTCAGTACTCAGAAAGTGAGAAGACTTTTGGGAGTTTGGGGATATCCAGAGCTATACAATAATGTGGGGGCTCACAGAGGCTCCAAAGTAAAGCTTTACTCAAGGTCAGAAAGTCTGAGCTTGCTTTACCCAGCAGGGCTGCATAATAGAATGATTTGGCCAAAGGCATGGTTACCAGGTGTCTTGAAGGGTCTACACTTGTTGGTACTTTATACCTCGACCTTGAGAGGGGGAGGTCTTTTGCTCCTCCCCTTACTGATGTATAAAAAGCTCGTAATAATTAAAGTTGAGAGGACTGACTATTGACCTAGGGCCCTCCTGAAGCTATCCTGTGTCCCTGTCTTTCTCATCATACCACCTCATTCCTCACTCCTCCCCACAAGAATCCTTCAACAGGTCAGAGCTGGCCTCCTACACAATAAGACTCTGTCTCCAAAACAACATTTAATTTTTTTTTTTTACCTTATGTATGAGCACCTGCCTACATATATGTATGTGCACTGTGTGTGTGTGCAGTGCCTGCAGAAGCCAGAAGATCCTTTGGAACTGGAGTTAAGGAAGGTTGTGAGCTTCCATGTGGGTGCTGAGAACTGAACCTGGGTACTTCGCAGGAACAGTTAGTGCAGATGTGTTGAATTACTACTTTGCTGTACATATCATCTAATAAACTTTAGAAAGAAAAAAGAAGGCCGGGTGGTGGTGGCGGCGGCGGCGGCGGCGGCGGCGGCGCACGCCTTTAGTCCCTAGCACTCGGGAGGTAGAGCCAGGCAGATCTCTGTGAGTTTGAGGCCAGACTGGTCTACAAAGCGAGATCCAGTACAGGCACCAAAACAATGCAGAGAAACCCTGTCTTGAAAAAACGAACAAACAAAAACAACAAAAAAACCCAAAGCCCACCCCCACTGATACACTTCCTCCAACAAGGCCACACCTCCTAATCTCTCTCAAGTAGTGCCACATCCTAATGACTAAGCATTCAAATATATGACCCTATGGGGGCCATTCTTATTCAAACCACCACATCAGGCTAGTCTCAAACTCCTGGACCAAGTCATCTTTTTGCCTTGGCCTCCTAAATAGCCAGGCTACAGGTATGTGCCTCCACTCCAGACACTTTTAGTTTTGCTTTTCAAAGGGCAAATTCGAAAGGGCATTGATGCCTTTTGAAATTGAAACGGGAGAGGGTCATGTAGCTGAGTGTAAGACTGCCTGCCTACCATGGGCAAGGCCTTGGGTATGGTTCCTAGCACCGCCAAATTTTTCAAAATAAAATAAGATTGAGGGCCTGAAGATGTAATTGAGTTGGTAGAATACTTGCCTAGCACGTATGAGGCCCTGGTTTCCATCCTCAGCCCTGTATAGCATTGATGTAGTGGCACATGCCTGTGTTCCCAGCTCTTGGTGGGTAGAGGCAGGAGGATCCTTAGTTCGAAGTCTACTAAATAAGGCTACATCCTCAGCCCTTATGTCCGTGAGATCCCAAAGAAACTCAGGACCGGTGGCTAACTGTGGTGCCTATTTAACACACCAAAGTGCACCTCTGACTGCTGGCTGCCAGGTTCTTCCAACATCACAGGTACACCTGTTACTGTCCTGGCTCCTGTCAGCATTTCTCACCCTACCCTGCCCACCCCGCCCACCTCACCCTCTACCCTAAACCTCTCCATCCCCGGAGCTTCCCTTCCCTACCCTTTCCCCAGCTTCCCTTTTCTATAAAAACCGGCCATTTTGGCAATGAGCTCTCTTGGCCTCCTGGTCCTTGGCTCCCCTCTTGGTCCTCTTACCTTCTCTCCTCTTCTCTCTCTCTTCTCTTCCTTTCTCACTCTCCCTCCCTTTCTCTCCTTTCATGGCCTGGTTCAGTCAACTGGCCATGTCCCACCTACTACTTTCTCTCCCCGCCTCTGGTGGCTCTCTCCCTCACATCTACAATAAAAACCTTCTCCTCAACCACACCTAGGGATGATCATGTCTTCATTTTCATTCAGTGCTCTCCTTTATTTATTTTGTGCATGTATGTGTATGGCACACGTGCAGGCGTGGGCACGTGTGTGGGTCTCTTGCCTTGGTATGCATGTGTATGTGGAGGCCAGGGTGTGGTGTTGGGTGTCTTCCTTGACCTCTGTCCATTCTGTTTACTGTGGTGAGGTCTCTCACTGAACCCAGAGCTTGCCCTAGGGAAGCCCTGCCTCTCTCAGCTTCCGGAGGGGTGGGGCTAGAGATGGGCTTCCATAACCAACGGCCTTTACATTGGTCTTAGAGAGCAGAACTTCAGTCCTCAAGAGATTTATGGCTCTCCTCTTTTTATTTGCTGCTGCTGTTGTTGTTAGACATGGCCTCATGTAGCCCAGGCTGGGCTCTCACTATATGGCTGAGGATGACCTTGAAATAGTGACCCTCTTGCTTCTACTTCCCCAAATGCTGATACAGGCTGTGCCATGACATTCAGTTTAAAGCACCAAATAAATAAACAGGGAGATGGCTCAGTTGGTAAAACGCTGTCTCAGAACCCAGGTGAAAAACTGAACATGCTGGCACTTCCTTGTAAACCCAACAGTGGTGGCCAATGGGGCAGCCTGACAAGGGAAAATCAAAACTTGAAAGAGAACAGCACCTTCTCTCAGCCGGGGTTCTGAATGCAAAGAAAACAGCAAAGGAAGCCACCAGGGGAGGAAGTGACAGCGTGTCCTTCACTTTCTGGTTCAAGGAAGGAAAAAAACCACTCCGTTTTATACTCCACCCATTTGATACCTACCAGTCATTTGTCTAACTCCAGTTTCCAGAACCCTGTGCTCTAGCAGCTGTGGGACCTGGGAGAATGGATCAATAGCCAATTTCATTGAGAGCATCAGATACTTTATGCTCTGATGGTTAAGAAGAGTCACCTGAGTAAAGTGTACAATCACAAGGATAAGATGCATGTGGCAAAAACATGTTTTGCCATGGAGGGATATAAACAAATAACAACAGCCAGTTGTAATGGGTAATCTGAAGTAAACTCACTCCTAACTGTTAACCTGAAAGGGCAAAAAACACATTCCGAAAAGAAACTGAGGTCACAAGACTCTTGTCTCTCTCTCTCTCTCTCTCTTTTTTTTTTTTTTTTTTTTTTTTTTTGGTGTTTTCTCACAAGCACTCAGAATTCTCCTCACACGACTCCATTCTTGAACTGTGTCCTGACAAACCTGACTCAGTGATTCCCCCACCTAGAAGTGTACAGGGACCATCTACTAACTATGTTATGACTGACTCTTTTCTGGCTTCTGTAACCTGCTCATGCAAACATTCAGTTTGCCTTGACCACCTAATCTTGGCAGATCAAAACAGCTCTTGGCTTGTTTCTGCAGATGCTCAAGGTCTTCCTATGGTTTTTGCCTTTAAAAAACAAAACAAAACACCCCTTCACCCCCACTTTGCACAGCAATCTCAAGTTTGGCTCAGAGATTGTTGTCATGCTAGCAGTAATCAATAAATCTTTTCATTATAATTGAATTGGGTCTATGGTCTTTTTCCAGGGGACAAGAACTTCATCACACTGAGAAAGTGTCCAGAATAGCACACCTATCCATGTAAGTCCCCAGGGAACTTAACCTGAGGACACTTGACGCTCTGGGGGTTCACAGAACCCCAGAGGTTACTGAGGTCCACTGACTGAAGGCCAGCACTACTATCTAGGAAAATCTTGGCAGGCCGTGGGGAGGAAAGTGTCATTTCTCAGGGTGGCTACTTTCACTCTTGTTTGGTGTGAGGTTAGCCCAGAACCAGCCTGTTTCTGCCTGCTTCTCACACAAACCAGCTACTGTAGCAATGCAAAATAATAATACTTTTTTTTTTTTGAGACAGGGTGTCCTACAGTTTAGGGTGGCTTCCAACTCCCTATGTAGCTGAGGGTGACTTTGAACTCCTGATGCTCCTATGTCCTGAGGTTACAGGCCTATGTGCCCCATACCAGGCTGAGAGCATAATCTGGGGAATAATTCCCTTTGAAAATGCCAAGGGGTAGTCAGGCTTGGTGGCTCAGGCCCAGGATTCCAGCAGTCAGAAGCTGAGGCAGGAGAAACGGGAGGTAGAGGCAAGGCTGGGCTGCATAATGTCTGTCTCCAAAGAGGGAGGAGGGAGGGACCAGTGAGACGTCTCAGTGGGAAAGGTGCTTGCCAGCAAGCCTGACAACCTGAGTTTGATTCCTGGGACCCACAAGGTTGAAGGAGAGAACCAACTCCTGACAGCTGTCCACTGACCACCACAAGGAAATATCATAAAGCATTACAAATAAAAACCGAGGGGCTGGAGAGAAGGCTCCGCAGTTAAGAGCACTTGTTGAGAGGACAGCACTCGCAGTGTGACTCACAATAGTCAGTAACTCTGGCTCTAGGGGATCCGATGCCCACTAGCCTGCACCGGCACCCCACACATGTATACAGGCACACAACGTACACAGAGCTAAAATAAAAATAAACCTTTATAAGGTGAGAAGGGACAAAGGAGTCTCAGAAAATGCTGAAACCATTTTTGTAGAAAAGTTAGTCAGGTATGTTGGCTCACGCTTTTAATCTCAGCACTCAGGAGGCAGAGGTGAATTTGAGGCCACACTGGTCTACATAGTGAGTTCCAGGATAGCCAAAGATATATAGTGAGACCCTGTCTCAAAAAATACCAAAGAAGAAGAAAAAGGAGAGGTAGATAGCAGAAAAAAAATCCTACTGTTTGTAGCAAGAAAAGGTAAGGATCTAAACTAACTCTGTCTCATTAGGTGTCTGATCCTCTCCTCTCATCCTCTACCTCCACCATGCAGGCCAAGAGCTGCAAAAGGAGACCCATTACTACCTCTGGGTCCAATCATGCATACTGCTCTGGGCATGACAGCCTGCCAGAACCCAGCTGGGGTTCCCACCCTCCTGCTTGCCTCTACTCACCCTCAGAAGCAGCCATAGCAGCAGCAGATGTACCAGCATGGCCATCAGAGACAGAGGTAGGACAAGGCAGGGTTGGGATGCTGAGTGTGAGTACTAGCCAGTTGCAGCCCAGATGCAGCCCTAGCCAGCTAGGAGGCCTTTAAAACCACCCCCTGCCTGAGTTCTTCCGGTAAGGTCCACACCCAGGTTCCTCGACTTCCTTGCTCCCCTGAACCGTCGTTGTTTTTGAAATTTACATTAAAGTTCCTCAAAACTTCCACTCACCACTCCACAGTACCAATGGCCAGCAAAAGGCACTTCAGAGCCAAGGAGTTTGAAAGCAGAGCCAGCCTAAGAGATGCCTGCATTGACTGACAGTAAGTCTACCCAGACACTGGACTGTGGGTCAGCCTTAAAGAGGAAGGAAAGCCTCCCACATGTTGGATGCCCCTCCAGAGCCCTGGGCTGCAAGGAGTCAGCTGGTCTCAAAAGGACAAACACTGCGTAAGTCTGCTGCTGAGGACCCAGTAGTCTCAGGTCTACGGAGGCAAAAAGCAGGATGGAGTGCCAAGACTGGGAAGGAAAGCTGAGAGTAAGTGAGTGGCTCATGGGATAGAATTTCAGTTTAGGAAGATGGAAAGTTCTGAAGGTGGATGGTGCAGGGGTTGGCTTGATGATACACCGGTGCTATGTATGTGATTTGTGCTTTGGAGCTGGGCATTCAGACATGGCCAGAGTGGTTTAAAAAATGAAGAAATTGGAGCCAGGCAGTGGTGCCTCATGCTTTTAATCCCAGCACTTGGAAAGCAGAGGCAGGTGGATCTCTGTAAGTTCAAGGCCAACCTAGTCTAGAGAGCAAATTCAAGGACAACCAGAGCTACATAGAGAAACCCTGTCTTGAAAACAAAATAAAACAAAACAAAACAACAACAATAAAAAGGAAGCTTCTTTATGAAGTAGATTGTACTGGCTGCTTTTGTGTGTTAACTTGACACAAGCTAGTCATCAGAGGAAGAAGCCTCAGTTGAGGAAATGCCTCTGTGAGATCCAGGTGTAAGGCATTTTCTCAATTAGTGATTAATGCAGGCGGGCCCAGCTATCCCTGGACTGTTGGTCCTGGGTTCTGAGCAAGCCAGAGGAAGCAAGTCCGTAAGCAGCTCTCCTCCATGGCTTCTGTATCAGCTCCTGTCTCCAGGATCCTGCCCCATTTAAGTTCCTTCCTGACTTCCTTCAGTGATGAACAGCAATGCTGAAGTGTAAGCCTAATATACCCTTTCCTCCCCAACTTGCTTTCTGGTCATGGTGTTTTGTCGCAGCACTAGAAACCCTGACTGAGACATAGATGGTGATTAATACAGAGACCTGCAGCTGATAAAAGGCTTCAGAATATTCAGTCTTAAATAAGGTGTCTATACCACACCCCCACCTCCCAGGGCTGAGGGATCATTGTGGAAGAGAGGGTGGAGAGAGTATAAGTATGTAAGATCCAGCTGGGCAGTGGTGGCGCACACCTTTAATCCCAGCACTCGGGAGGCAGAGCCAGGCGGATCTCTGTGAGTTCGAGGCCAGCCTGGTCTACAGAGCAAGATCCAGAACAGGCACCAAAACTACACAGAGAAACCCTGTCTTGAAAAAAACAATTAAAAAAAAAAAGAAGAATGTAAGATCCATTGTGTGTGTGCGTGTGTGTGTGTGTGTGTGTGTGTGTGTGTGTGTGTGTCTAGAAAGAGAGAGAGAGAGAATAGAAAAGGAGCTGAGTGTGGTGGTGCACATGTTTAATCCCAGCACTCAGAGGCAGGATAATATCCATGAATTCAAGGCCAGTGAAAGGGAAAAATCAGTAGCCATCTTGAGAGACGCTTCCCCCTCCCCTCTTCCAAAGGTATCTGCTGACCAGCAGTTTTAGAAGTGACCAGAAGTTGACTTACAAGGCTGGGACAATAAATCAATGCATCCTGGACTTGGCAAAACAAGATATAGGGAGTAATGGGCTCAACTGACCAGAAATTGAACTTATAGGAGAGCAGGACTGCAACAATAAATCTGAATGTGTATATCCTGGGTTCAACAAAAGCAGGACATAGGGAGTAAAAATTTATGTCTCTGTAGATACCCTGAATCCTGTTAGCCATCAGTAACCTCATGCTTATAGTTCAGCCAGTAACTCCACTACCTTACCGGTAGCCCCCTCGTCCAGTCTCTAGCTGCATATAAACCTTTCCTATATAAACCCCTTCAAGTGAGTGGTCGGGGCGTTCTCCTCCACCCACTGTGTCAGATATTGGATGCGGACCAAGCTTGCTTGTTTTGTTATTAAAAACCTCCGTGTGCTTGCATCGGATAATGGCTCTGTGGTGGTCTTGCTTGGGGGTTTTGCGACCTGGGCACAACAGTCAGCATGGTCTACAAAGTCTCAAAAAAATAAAAAAAGAAGAGAAGAAATCGGTTTATCAGAAGCTCAGTAGAATGATCTGGCTATCCTCATGAGACTACAATCACAGGTGCTAGGTGGAGGGGCTGCCAGGAAGTCATGTGGTCCACAGTCACAAGAAGTTACCAGAACTGAACTTGGCCAGCGTTATGAGCAACTTCCAGAAAGCCTCACAGGAGCATCCCATGTCTGGAGACAATGGCTAGTTGTCAACTGTCCCAGATAAATTGCTTTTCAACCAGGTGATTGGCCAAAGAGCTAGAGACAGAGAGAGCTCAAGGAACCATTTCTCCAGCTCCAGCAAATCTGTCTTGATAAACCCCAAACGTAGATGGTTTTGATCAATTTGCAATCCCATCAGGGGTTCAGATATGAGGGCTAAAGTTACGTTTTAATTTTCAATTACTGTGCTTAAGAGAGCTGTAAAACAAAAATGCCTCTAACCTGTAAGCCCCACTTGCCCAAGTACAGATAATGAGGAACCTGCCTACTCCGTTTTGAAGACTTGACTCATTATACTGCATTGTTAAAAATAAGTTTCCATTTACTGTAAGAACTGAGTTGCTGTTTTTAAGTCTGTTTCCTGGAGATTAACATGCTCCAACCCATGACCTTGACTTGTTTTTGAGAATACCCTTACCTTCCCTGATCCTCCTAATCACCCTCCCTAGTCACATGGTGACCACATGATGTTTTTCAAGGTTTTTCTGCATTTCCTTATTGCCCCCACTGTCTTTCCTCTGTAAACCTGCTTTGCAACTACTTGTGATTTTAGTCCTTAAAAGGGACCCAGTAAATGGATTCAGGGCTGCTCTCTTTAACCCAACTTAGGAGGCAGTCACTGGCCAACTCTTGGGTGCTGTTAGTATTCTGAACTGCCCCTTTGGGGACCCACCCAGCATTCTGACATCATCTTATGTAAAGTCTCCTTTAAGAAAAAACTCCTCGAGACTCCGCCAGCTCCGATTGGACCAAGAGGTGAGTCTTTGTTCTCCTAGCCATCACCCCAGCCTCTAGGCTTTAGGCCCAGGGGCACACCTGGATGCTGCCCCCATACCCACACCCATTGCAGCCCCAGTTGCAGGCCAGCAGGCAGGACTCCTGCAGGTAGGCCTGACTACTACCATTCCCCCACTGGACCCTGTAACCTAGAAGCCCCACTCCACCACCCCAAACCCACCCATCCTCCAAGACAGCAGCTCCAATTGGACCGAGAGCCTTCATCCAGTATCTGATGGAAGCAGATGCAGAGATTCACAACCAAGCACCAGGCCAAGCTCCGGGAGTCCAGTAAAAGGGAGAGAAGAGCGATTATATGAACAATGGGGATCAAGATCATCATGATGGGGAAATCTACAGAGACAACTGAACCAAGCTCATAGGAACTCATGAATATTAGACAGACAGCTGTGGAACCTACATGGGACTGGACTAGACCCTCTGCATATGGGAGACAGTTGTGTAGCTGGGTCTGTTTGAGGGGCCCCTGGCAGTGTGAGCAGGATCTATCCCAGGTGCATGAGCTGGCTTTCTGGATCCCATTACCTATGGTTGGACACTTTGCTCGCACTTGATGCAGTGGGGAGGGGTTTGGTCCTGCCTCAACTGAATGTACCAGGCTTAGCTGTCCCCCTATGGGAGAACGGGATGCTGAGATAAAGCCACACACACACATAGCCAAGAAGAATGGACAGATGAATTCAAAAAACAAAAACAAACAAACAAAAAATCTGCAGGGAACCATGACCACACATAACAGCGACTTTGAAATCGTCAAGAGGAAGATGGGACTCCACAAAGATGATTCCACATAGACTATGGTAAAGCCATTAAGCTGATTAACACCACGGAAAGATCGACTTTGGACTACAAACTGCTCAGGACAATGTCAAGATGGCTAGCTGAGATGATCCAGCCTGACGGACTACTTGAACAAGGACTTGAAACAAGCCCTGCACTTTTCCATTATGCAGAGACTGGACAAATGATACAGGACTTGACAATTAACCCAAAATTTTCTTTTCAGAATCCCCTAAAGATGCCTTCATCCTAGAAAGAGGAATTAAACGACGCCCACATTCCCAAGAGGTGGGATGGGAGGTTTCTGGTTGTTTAATGAGTTTGGGATATTGTTATTGTTTATGATGGTTGGTTACAAGTTGTTAATTGTAGCCGGGAGGTGGTGGCACATGCCTTTAATCCCAGCACTCGGGAGGCAGAGCCAGGCGGATCTCTGTGAGTTCGAGGCCAGCCTGGGCTACCAAGTGAGTTCCAGGAAAGGCGCAAAGCTACACAGAGAAACCCTGTCTCGAAAAACCAAAAAAAAAAAAAAAAAAAAAAAAAAAAGAAAAAAAAAGAAAAAGAAAAACAAGTTGTTAATTGTTAATGGTCAAGACAAAAGCTGAACAAGGAGATTAGATTCAAAATTTACTGATGATCTTCCAAAGACACCAACAGCTCTACCTTTAAAATGGTTAACAGACAAGCCTGTATGGGTTCAGCAATGGCCTTTAACAACAGAGAAACTCCAGGCTTTAGAAGAGCTGGTAGAAGAACAGTTAAATGCTCAACATATTGAAGAGTCAACCAGCCCTTGGAATTCTCCTGTATTTGTTATTAAAAAGAAATC